TACATTTCCAATTTCTTGCTCTTTCTCTTCTTCTGGCATCTCTATGATTCGAATGTTGGACCTCTTGAAGTTGTTCCAAAGACTGCTTATACTATCCTCATTTTCTTGGATTTTTTTTTCTTCTTGTTGTTATGATTGGTGGTTTTTTGTTTCCTTATGTTCCAAATCATTGATTTGATTCTTGGCTTCATCCACTCTACTCTTGTTTCCCTGTAAATTGTTCTTTATTTCAATTAGTGAATTCTTCATTTCTTACTAGATATTTTGTATGCTGCTGAGGTCCTCACTAAGTTCCTTGGGCATCCTTATAACCAGCATTTTGAACTCTGCGTCTAATAGATTGCTAATCTCCAATAATTGCTAAGATGTATAGCTTTTTTTTTCCTAGAGTTTTGATCTATTCTTTCATTTGGGCCATGTTTCTGTATTTCCTCATTTTGGCAGCCTCTCCCTGTGTTTATTCCTATATATTAGGTAGAGATGCTTTGACTTGGTGTCTTGGTAGTGTGCCCTAAGGTAGGAGGTGTCCTGTAGAGTCTGGTGGCACAGCCTCCCCTATTACACAACTGGGTGTTCTAGGTTTACCCTTTGTGTGGGCTGAGTACACCCTCCTCTTGCAGCTGAGCCTTGGTTGCTGTTGGCAAGTCAATGAGAGGGATTTACCCAGGCCAGTCGGCTGCAACCACTGGCTGTGACCACTGACCACCAACCTCCACCCTCTGTGGAGGATCAGCTGTGTGGGAGCAGGATGGTGGTGCTCCAGTGGGGTCTGTAGCTGTCCACTTGTTTCACAGGCTCTGGGGTTTCCCAGGTGGTGCAGGCAAAGGTCAGCCCCACCTATGTTTTGCCCCTGGGCCGCCCTGCCTGAGCTATACAGCATGAGATGGCTGCTACTGGTGCTAGGCTTGGAGATTCCCAAGTGAAGCCAAGCTGTGAAACTAATCTGGCTGCTGCTAGTGCCCAGCCTGTAGCTCACTGAGGCCAGCTGTCGCTTGTTTGATAGGTTTGGGAAGTTGTGAAACTTGCACCAAGACCAGCTATTCATATGGAAAAGAAGTTTGGGTGGGTCATAAGTTGGGTGGTGCAGGGTCTTAGGGGATTTGGAAGTGGGTCTAACAGTGTTAGCCAGGTTAATGGAGTCTCAGATATGCCACCAGCCTGCCAGCTCCATGGGGGGAGGGTTCAGAAAAGGGACAATGACCTCTGCTTTCCCTGGCGCCAGATACTTCAGCTTCTCCCAGTATGCCCCTGATGCCCTTCCAAGCTGCTGCCCAGAGCTGGAGCTCAGAGGAAGTAAGTCTGAGAAGGTGAGTCTGTGTATGGGTTCTTTAAGAGGAACTGCTTGGGGCTTCAGCAGTTTCTTCCTAGGGGACTCAATCCCCACTGGTTTTTGCAGTCAGAAGTTGTGGGGACTTATCTTCCTGGCACTGGAACCCTGGGCTGGGGGGCCTGGTATGGGTCCGGGCCTGCTTGCTCTTGAGAAATCCCTCCCAAATATTTTTCCACCACACATGGATGAGGGACCAGCCCATTCCTTGTCCATACCCCTCCTGCCAGTCTGGATGGATGTGGTTTCTTTAATTCCATAGTTGTTAGACTTCCATTCAACTTGATTTCTGATGGTTCTGAGTGATGGTTGTTCTATATTTTAGTTGTAAGTTTGATGTGGTTGTGTGAAGAGGTGAGCCATGCCTGCCTATATCAGCATCTTGCTATCCACCTCTCCCTAGATTTTTATGCATGTTTTAGCATTTACAGAGGCTATGGGTTTAGTGCTAGATATAGCAGCAAGAGTTGAAGCTAATTTGCAGCCCCAAGCAGTAAACAGAATCCAACCAATGAACCCCTTTTGTAGTATCTAGTCTGAACTGTAAGGATGACCACATTATTGTCCAACCTAGGAAGAGGAAACTGGAGGTAGAAAGGGGGACTCTGCAGTATTGTCTGACAGCAGGTGAAAACTGGAGACGTCCCAGGATGTAGGGTCACTTCACTCAGTGGGATTCAAAATAAATTGTGCAACAGGATCAACTCGGGGGTTAATAAAACACAGATTGCTGGGCTTCACCCCAAAGTTTCATAATCAGTAGGTCTGGGTTCCAAAATTTGCATGTTTTACAAGTTCACTGATGTTGTTGATGTATCTTGTCTGGGACTACACTTTGAGGACCACTGCTGTGCCTGAATAGGCTTGCACTGATGATGTAATTTTCAGTTAAAAGAAACTCCTTATTGTCCAGTTCTCCTCTCCTAGAGAGCCGTCTACAAGTGAGGATACCTTTGAGGAAGATGGCCAAATAAACTCGTTCAACCTGTGTCTCTCTGCACTGGCCTGTTCTTGGTTTTCCAGAGACCGCTTAATCTGGGAGGCTGGGACATCTCAAGTGGTACCAACCTAACTTTCAAGGAAATGCTGAAACCAATTGGAGTAAATGCGACCTCTGATTTCTTACCATAGAGACTTCAGTTTAGGGAGCCTCAATATCTAAATTCACGTTAGAGGTTTTTTATAAGGTGAACAGTTTTAGGCCACAATATTCCTTTATTCAGCAATTTACTTCAGAAGTATTTTAGATCTAATTGGAAATATTCTGACTTCCTCCCTCCCTTCCTTTCTTGGTCAAGAATAATGTAATGCTTAACTATGTAGGGAAAATACACTTCCTTTACTTTTTAAGCATTTATTCATTATTTTGCCCTTACTAAGTGGCTTAGATTAAATGAGAAACTTGTAGATAATTTTATTAGTAAGGCAAATGTGTATGAGGAATTCATCTATAGATCAGTGGTTCTAAAGTGTGGGCTCCCGTATCACCTGGGAATTGTTAGAAATGCAAATTCTGAAGCCCCAACTCTGCCTTAATGAAGCAGAAACTTTTTGGAGTTGGCCTGAGGGTATGTGCTTTAACAAGGCTTCCAGACAATTCGGTTGTGCTGCAAAGTTTGAGAAGCACTATTGTAAGTGCTTTTGTATCTTACTGATTTTGGTGTACAAAGGTATCGAAATGCCCAAATTATATTTGCCAATGGTCTGATATATAATTACATGTATACCTGCATTGATTTTATGATAACAGTAATGATGTCAGCCCACACTTACTGAATGCTTCCTACATCACTGTGTCCACGACTTTACAAATATTATCTGATTTAATCATGAGTAGTCATGTACTAATATCATCACCATTTTAGAGATGAGCGAATGGGGCTCAGGGAGCTCAGAGTGCCTGCTGCCTGGCGTACCCATTTGCTGTTTTAGTGTGGTTCTCCCTGCCCACCCCCCAACCCCAACCCCCAGTTCTCCTGACTTGAGAGACTTTCTTTTTCTACCGCTCCTACTCCACCCATTGTATTATTTTTGAAGATGTCAGGGATGATTACAATTTTATGTTTTTAGTTTAACATTCCCCTTCCACCCAAATATAGATGTGTGATACTAGATTGAACATTCCTATAATCAGGGAGTTATAAAGACTCCCCTACAAATACATACTTGAGGATGGAAGTATTGATTGAAGATAATTGAAGATGTGCTGGTTGGTGATGGGTGGGGTAGGGTAGAAGGGGGCAGTGGGTGTAGCAGTGTTCGTGCTGTGCTGATTGAAGCTGTGGGCTGAGGAGCTGGCTGTGCTCAGGTTCAGGATCATGCTGAGATCTGCTGGGTGGCCGTGGTCAGCTGCTATGACATGGGCTCTGTAACAGCTCTTTCTCTACACCCTGCCCACTTCCTTTTATGAGTCTTTAGGCTTTGAGGATCTTGGTGTCTCCTCGTGTCTTCCTTACTCAGCTATCACAAACACAACCATCTTTAGCTTATGCAGTGTGCGACTGTGTATGGGTGTGCATACTTTTTATGTGTGTATTTATAGATTTTATTAAGTGAAATTTATTGGTATGTTTACAATTCATGAAATGTTATTTTGATATTTTATAGTTAGTACATTGTGTTTTCTTATTTTTTAACTTATCAATACTTAGATTTTTAGTGCTAAAATTGTTTTTAAATCTATGTTTAAAAAATTAAAAAAATTTAAAATTAAAGTTGACATACAGTATTGTTTCAGATATGAAATATACTGATTAGACACCTATAATTTACACAGCGATCACCTCTATGTAAGTCTAGCACCCGTTTGACACCATACATAATTATGCAGACTACAGTGTATTTTTTTTAACCAGTGTGACCTCTGATTTATTTTCTTTGAAGGATTAGTTGTCCTTAAAAAATATCTCTGGACTAAATGGATTGCATGAGATTGGTTGAATATGCTGACAGTGTAGATCTGTCCCAATTCCCCTATGCATAATTTAAATTTATAATGTTTAAAATATTTCAAATAATTGAGCTGATTAGTCATAGATCATAATAAGTAACAGATGAACTCAAATGTCCTCTATACATAAGATAGATGTTTCGGCAGCTCATAATTCTCTTTAAAGGTAAATAAATATCTTTCTAGGTAATTGGGGTTAACTTATCCCAATAACAAAAAAGATAAAAAGCTTTTTACCTATTTAAGTATATGTACAAGTAGATACTAACTGTACATCTTCACACACATGCAGTTGCAAGCAAAAACATTCACGTGGACTCTTAAATATTATTGTAATACTTAACTTCATAGCTTTTAGAGGCAATTTTGATACACAGGTACAAGCTTTGGGCATGTTTGTCCTGGATGAAGGCCTTTTAACCCTTTTCTTTGCTATCTCTTCATCTCAGACATATTTTGACAGCCACAGTTGGAAATCACAAATAATCATAAGTGGTACAATTTCAGATTCGATTCCAGAAGCAGCATGAGCAAATGTATTACCATAACCACCAATTACAGTTCTCAAACAAAAAAGGGAAAATGCAGATGGTCCACTGACCTCAGCGTTGTTGCTGCTCAGTTCTGACCTCTCCTTCCCACTTGCACGCCCCACTTGCACACCCCACTTGCACACCCCTCTCGCACACACTCGGCTCGCTCATGGAAAAGCTGTCTCCTTACCTGCCTCCAGCTCTCATCTGCCAGTCGGGGAGCACTCATTCAGAATGTGTCTCACTGTGCACTCCAGACTAAGACTGTTACACACCAAGTTCTCCCTCGTCTCAGGAACAAATGCAAATTGGGAACTTGACAGAAACCACAAGATAGTGGGTGGTTGAGTGTCACTGCAGAGTTGGCCAGCTAGAACTTAATAAAGGCTGGGAAATGGAAGGAGAGATGTTTGAATCTCTGTGGGTGTCTGGCTGGCCTCTGTGCTGGATTTTTCCCTTTGGTGGGCCAGTTCCTTCTTGAAATTTTCTATTGCTTTTGCTACACCTTTGCATCATCTGGCAAATAAACAGTAGGCAACAACCTCAATATGTTTTCTTTTGAAACTTTGCCATTGCCAGATTCAACATGTGGTAAGAGGTAGAGAACTGATGATGGGTATCTGAGGTAGGTAAGGTGTGGTTCTTTCAGAAGCACCTCCTAGGGGGTAACCAACAGCCACAGAACCTAGCATGTTCATAAACGAGCGGTCACTGGAGTAACCTGGAAATGCAGAATTAGCATTTGGGTAAAGAAGCGTTTTGACACCAGTGACCACATCTTTTAGGTAAGTGGTATGGCTCTTGTTGTTTTTCTAAGCATTAATTTTTCCGTATTTGGCATTACTGACAGGTAGATCATGAGTAGGACTTCAGATAAACTCACCACATGTTAATCTTTTGCCAGGTTTGTGGTGCTTATGATATTGTTCTGAAATCGAGAGGCAGGACCCCTTCATAGTTTTAGTTACTTTCGAGTTCAGTACTATAATTTATAATTTCCTACAGAGCGCTCCAGTGTCTTTCCCATTGGATAATAGTGTGCAGTTAGATTTTGAAGTCCTCAGGATTTAGCTACAAAGGCCACGCATGTCAGAGTGTGTGACTCAGTACCAGATAAGAACCAGATAAGAAAGTAGCAGTGGTCTGAAAATCTCTTTACAAGGCTCCTGCACACTCAAGTGGTCCATTGCCAAATTATGGGCTAACGGCTGAACTTAGTTTGATTTAAAAATATAATATATACATTTACAATTAGAGTATTTGGTGGTACTTATTCACATGCTTACGAGACTGCCGGCTAGTGTCCTTGGTACTTTGTGTACCTCCTATGTGCAGTAAGCAGTGTTCCAGACTGCAGGTGTGGTAGTGACCAAATCAGACCCAAGTCCTTTCCCTGACAAAGTGCATTTTCCTATTTCACGTTTTATATACAAACTTAGTAGTCATGTTGCTCCACGTAATGGGGTCAGTAGAGGCCCGAGGGACCCACTGTTGGATTAGAGAGGCTCTATACAGTCCACACTGCTGCTTGACTAGTGTGCATACTGGGGCTGGTTGGTTTCTGCTGCAGTGAGATCTCGCAGGTACATGGGCAGAAAAACAGACAGAACGGTGAGCCATCAGAGCCTGGTTATTACCAGGGCACATTGCAGAGTCCTAGAGATGTAAACATTATGCTGATTAAATGGATGATTTGGCAGTACTGGTCTCCAAGTTGCAGCTCTCAAAGCTTGGGTGATTTATGGCAGGAGGCGCTGTTTATTCTGCTGGTCTCAGACATAGCCATTAATCATCCCAGGTACTCTCTTGTGCTTCTTGCCTTCTCCACCGGGTGTGCTACATGCTTGTTAGTAAGTATGACTGGGGAGGAAGTTATCATTTCTTTCCCTGGATCTGTTTTTTTTCCTCTTGGTACTAGGAGTGGCAAAGCCCAAGGCCAAAGGGATAGTCCTGTATGTGGTCATCTGATGGCAGGTGGTCCAGGTAAGTGAGGTAGGCCCTGTGTATGGTCTTTAGGAAATGAGGAACTGTGCAGAAGTAGAGAGGTCATGCCTTGCAAGTCAGCTGCCACTCAGCCGGAGCTTGTTGGGATCCAGCATGGCCTCGTCTATGGCCAAGCCACTTAAGTCAGAACCAGAGTGCTGACTGTATGTTTAGTTGTTCTAAACACTTTATGTGTTTTAACTCACTGAGTTCTTACAATAAGTGCATGAGCCAGGTGGGTTTCACTACTTTAACCTCCCCCACATTTTTATTAATAGTGGAGGAACCTGAGGCACAGAGATGTGAGGTTAGGTCCCACTGCCCCTGGAATAGGATTCAAACCCTGGCAGGGCAGCTCCTGGAGCCGCACTGTGATTTTACATGTTGGTATGGGGACAGAATCATGGATGGAGAGCAGGTGACAGCTAGTGAGGGCAGGGGAGGTGATGGAGTGGAGGGATTGAGCAAAAAAGACCAAGAATTCATGGACGTAGACAACAGAGTGGTGATGCCAGGGAAGGGGGTGTAAGGTGACTAAATGATAATGGGGAAAAATACAATAAAGATTAAATTTAAAAAATCAGATACTTTCCAAATTTGTGAGTGCCTAATGTCTCGTGGACCAAAACAAAATCTGACCAGGCACTGCACTGGGCCGTGGGGAGTAATTCCATGGCCTCCGTTCTATTGTTGTATTGGAGGGTAGTGGGGCAGGAATGACAGAGGGGGCAGCCGGGACCAAAAGGGAAAAGTCATCTATGAAGACTGGATCAGAACACTGAGACACGTACTCTCACACATGTGGTCAAGGAGCACTTCCTTTGTATCATTTCCTTTTGCAGCCGGTCTATACTGGAACCATCTGAGGGACCACTAATCCTATTTTTATAGATGAGAAAAGAGAGCTTCAAAAAATATAAGTTGCCCAAGCTGGGAGGTGGCAGGACTGGACATTGGAGCTGGTTGGTCTTTAGATGCAGTGTTGACTATTCCTTCCTCAGCTCAATGGCTCTTGCTTACAACCAGACGAACAGTGAGCACTGATTCATTGATGAATCAAGCAGCTGAGAGTTGGGTATACATACTAGAACAGCCTTGTTGGGAACACAGGAAAAGTCGATTTTCTCATCAGGAAGTGCTGATTTTGCACACAGAAAACTTTAGTCCGAGATGAGAGACGGGAAGAGAGTGATGGCAGGCAAATGAGGAGGTACAGGTGGTAATAATCAGAGATACCAGGGCAAATGGTGGAAGCTGCACTTGCCTTGGAATTGGGAAGATAAAGAGGCTAGTATCCAAGAAGAACTTGGTGAATTATCTGTTCATCTTGCGTTCTCAAGATTGCATGTCTTAAGGTAGATTTTCTGCCGTAGCAGAGTTTTTGGCCATAGGACCTTACTAATGGGGACAAGGCAGGAGCTGTGGTTTCTCTTTCCACGTCTGGGGGACTTGTAAGAGAGGCACCCAGAGCCCCGCTGCCTTTTTCTTCTGGGCCTTCTGCTTCCCTGGGGACTCTGAAGCAGTTCTCTCTAACTCTTAAGGTTATTGTTTATGTACCTGACTGGCCATCAGCGTCACCTGGGGAGCTGTAAAAATGCATATTCCAAGACTCTCATTCAAATGAACTGAATAAGAATCCTTGCATTTTGGGCTTAGGAATCTGTATTTTCAAAAGTGTTAGAAATGTGGCCCAGTGTGAGCATGCCTGCCTTGCTGTTTTGAAACCTCAGATCTTAAAACATGTGGAGGAACTTTTGTCTTCTGGACAAATGCTGTACCTTCCAACCTCATTGGTTCAGCTCACTCTTAGCGGCCTGGGTCCCTTATCGCTGCTGCCATAGCTTTAGATAGCCACTCAGACCTGTGCCCTGAGAGCAGAAATTTTGACGATCAGAGTATTAGAAGGGTGGCATTATGAAAAGAGAAGTTCATAGACCTAGAGAGAAAGGCTACAGCAGCCACTGGTTAGATGAAACCCAAGGGGGAAGGAAGGATATCAAAAGGGGCTTAAGCAACAAAAGCAATCATGTCTGACATCTCCGGAGACATTTCAGACTGTCTTCTTTTACCATTGCCTGCCAACCCCCAACTGTATCGCAATAAATGATACGACTCTGCCTTTACACTGTCTGCTGTTACTCCTTCTTCTTAGCAGTAAAGTCTCGGGAGTGGAGTCTTCCTTTACTTACGCCCTCACTCTGGCCCAGCTGTCCCACCCTGTGGACACACGGAGACATGGTTGGGCGTATTTGAGAGCGACTCACATATTGCAGTGCAGGACTTAAAATCGGCTCTGCTCCCATTTCGTGTTTTCTTAAGGCTTACGCTAGGCATTTTGTGGATATGCTTACGTACAAAGATTAGCTTGTGTACATTTTTCTCTGTTAGAATTGGAAGTAAGTATTTTATTAATGTTTGTAAAGATATTTTATCCTGACAAGCTATTATTCATCATATCTTCATGTATTTTAAAAATTAGCTATTTTCTTTAGCAGCAAAATTCAGCTTTTTCAACAATAAATAAAATAATGGTGATGATTTTAAAATAGTAAAAAGTAATTTAAAAACTTAATAATAGAGGACATGTTCCTATCAAAAAAGAGGGAAAAGCTAGAATCAATATTTTTTTTTCTCTGATGTTTTGATTTATGCTAAGTAGTTCTATGTTTCCTCAACCCTTTCACATTTGATTTTGTGGATCCCTTAGAGAGCACCGGGGGTAGGTGGGGGGTTGGGGGGGTTCATCCTGGTTACTCTTTTCCTGAGGACCCTCTCCAGACCCCTGACGACTGCCCACCGCACATGCTCACAGACACAGTTCCTTTCTCCAGCTTTGTTTCCGGGCCAGACTCTGCCTTGTTCGTAATAAAACTGGTTATATATAAACATCCCTTGTGTATTCATACTGCAGATAGAGTGAGTTTAACACATGTAATCCCCAAGTATGTCTGTTATTGTTTCCAGTCTGTTTCTATCCAGCCTGTCATCAACGGCCCTGAGCAGCTGGTTTTCTTACTCTTGGTGTTCTGTAAATGTTCTGTGTTGTTCCTTACCCCAAAATCTTTTTTTATATAGTAAAAAAGCAACTTTATTGTTATCGCCTTATCCTAGATTTTCCCCATTTGCTTCGTTGGGTGGTACAGACAGACCAGTGTGCTTTGCTGTTACCCCACTTGCTGTCTCAGATTTACTCGTGTTAGCCCTGTGTAGATGGACCTTGTTAGTTATTCAGGACTTTGCGGCATTCTGTGCTTTATTTAATCAGCCCATATTGATGGACATTTTGATAGATATAAACATT